CGGCGGGAAACGGTTATCCAGGTCGTCCAGCGATCCCGAGCCAGCCGGGCATGGATCTGCCTCCAGAGGAAGCTTCAAACCTTGTGGGAGACAAAAAAAAAAAGGTCAGAGGTCAGGGGAAGGATCCCCAAAAATCTACCCCATCGGGCAACAAATATTTTATTTCTTGTCTGAGCATCCCTACACGGGCCCTCGTCTCTGAGCATCCCTACACGGCCCCTCGTCTCTGAGCATCCCTACACGGCCCCTCGTCTATGAGCATCCCTACACGGCCCCTCGTCTCTGAGCATCCCTACACGGGCCCTCGTCTCTGAGCATCCCTACACGGCCCCTCGTCTATGAGCATCCCTACACGGCCCCTCGTCTATGAGCATCCCTACACGGCCCCTCATCTATGAGCATCCCTACACGGCCCCTCGTCTATGAGCATCCCTACGCGGCCCCCCGTCTCTGAGCATCCCTACACGGCACCTCGTCTCTGAGCATCCCTACACGGCCCCTCGTCTATGAGCATCCCTACACGGCCCCTCGTCTATGAGCATCCCTACACGGCCCCCCGTCTATGAGCATCCCTACACGGCCCCCCGTCTCTGAGCATCCCTACACGGCACCTCGTCTCTGAGCATCCCTACACGGCCCGTCGTCTCTGAGCATCCCTACACGGCCCCTCGTGTCTGAGCATCCCTACACGGCCCCTCGTGTCTGAGCATCCCTACACCGCCCCTCAACTCTGAGCATTCCTACACGGCCCCTCGTGTCTGAGCATCCCTACACGCCCCCTCAACTCTGAGCATCCCTACACGGCCCCTCAACTCTGAGCATCCCTACACGGCCCCTCGTCTCTGAGCATCCCTACTTGGTACCTCGTCTCTGAGTATCCCTACTCGGCCCCTCGTCTCTGAGCATCCCTACTTGGTACCTCGTCTCTGAGTATCCCTACTCGGCCCCTCGTCTCTGAGCATCCCTACTCGGCCCCTCGTCTCTGAGCATCCCTACTCGGCCCCTCGTCTCTGAGCATCCCTACACGCCCCCTCAACTTTGAGCATCCCTACTTGGTACCTCAGCTCTGAGCATCCCTACAGGGTCCCTCAACTCTGAGCAGCCCTACATGGCTCTTTTTTATCCAGGGACAATAAGTACTTCGGCTTCAAAAGAATTCATTTGTTTTTGATCGTTGGCCCAAATAGTCCCTCATCGGTGACCATCCCTACGTGGCCCCTCGTTGGGTCCCCTTGAAGGACCACACAACCAGCCGGCTTTTTTACGTTAGACCTTTTCCCAGCAGGAGTAGCAGCGAAGCCGCGGCAGGCAGAAGGCGATCAATACAAATTATATGACGCGCGAGGTTGTCACCGCCCCGATCTCTGGATCCAGGAGGAGATGGAAAGTTCCTCTGGAGGTGGAGGGAGGCGGTCCCCCCGGGGCCCATTAATATAATTACAGTCATCCAGCCGTGTTTTTCTTTGCACTCCTCTGAGAGATCGTCTCTCTTTATTATCAGATCGGCGAGCCGGAGAGAATTCAGCTGGACTTTTTTTTTTTTAGGTGTTGCGGGAAACCGCGGCGAATTTTCCATCAGGCGCCATTGACGTATAAAAGCGTCTTAAAGAGAACCGGTCACAACTCTAAATACAGCTCACTGCTTCTCTCTCCTTGTACAGGATGACTGGTCTTGTCTCCGCCCCCTCCTTTAATAAAGACCACTCACAGCTGCTCTCTCTCTCCTTGCTCAGGGTGATTGGTCTCGTCTCCGCCCCCTCCTGTAATAAAGACCGGTCACTGCTGCTCTCTCCACTTGTGCAGGGTTACTGGTCTTGTCTCCGCCCCTTCCTGTAATAAAGACCGGTCACTGCTGCTCTCTCCACTTGTGCAGGGTTACTGGTCTTGTCTCCGCCCCTTCCTGTAATAAAGACCGGTCACTGCTGCTCTCTCTCTCTCCTTGTGCAGGGTGACTGATCTGGTCTCCGCCCCCTCCTGTAATCAAGGCCGGACACTGCTGCTCTCTCTTTATTACAAGAGGTGCGGAGACAAGACCAGTCACCCTGCACAAAGACCCCTCACTGCTGCTCTCGCTCCTTGTGCAGGGTGACTGGTCTTGTCTCCGCACCTCTTGTAATAAAGAGAGAGCAGCAGTGTCCGGCCTTGATTACAGGAGGGGGCGGAGACCAGATCAGTCACCCTGCACAAGGAGAGAGAGAGAGCAGCAGTGACCGGTCTTTATTACAGGAGGGGGCGGAGACAAGACCAGTCACCCCGCACAAGGAGAACGAGCGTCAGTGAGCGGTCTTTATTCCAGGAGGGGGCGGAGACAAGACCAGTCACCCTGCACAAAGACCCCTCACTGCTGCTCTCGCTCCTTGTGCAGGGTGACTGGTCTTGTCTCCGCCCCCTCCTGGAATAAAGACCGCTCACTGACGCTCGTTCTCCTTGTGCGGGGTGACTGGTCTTGTCTCCGCCCCCTCCTGTAATAAAGACCAGTCACTGCCGCTCTCTCTCCTTGTGCAGGGTGACTGGTCTCGTCTCCGCCCCCTCCTGTAATAAAGACCACTCACTGCCGCTCTCTCTCCTTGTGCGGGGTGACTGGTCTCGTCTCCGCCCATTTGGAGCACATAAAGTGGCTTTTGAGAAATAGATTGAAATGGAAGTTATTGCGCTCGGGGAAATGAGACATTTTTTAGAGGCCTCCGCATCTGTCCCTCATGTGTGGGAAGTGTGGACCCGTCCAGGATTTCCTAGCCATCCCTGACCTCTGCTTCCCAGAATCCTCGGAGCGGGGCTATGGAATCCCTCCCCGGGGGAGCACATCCATTTTTAGACACGGCCGGGGACCGAGCTGTTGTCACGGATGGAGGAGGGAGAGGATTTTATTAGCAGGCCGTATCCCAGTGATGACTCAGTCCCTTCCTGTCCCAGCGGCATGTGACCTGTAATCAGATCAGATCTCTCTAATTCACTTTGGCAGCTGTGGATCTGCAGTAACATGGGGGGAGGGGATCATCTGCAAACTGCCAGGAGCGGCCCTTTAAGTGGGACGTGACGCCAGAGGCTGGTAGGAGGGGCTCCTGTTTATGTGATTGGTTGCACAGCGGTGATGTAGTCGGGAGCCCATCCTACCTACTTCTGATCATCGGTAGTTGACCATGAGGGGGCGGAGATTGGAGGGACCTGCAGAGGAACACTTGGCATTAAGCTCCACCCCCTGTGGGAAATATAACATATGAGTAGTCTGTATTTTTATGCTCTTTCATATTGTCCTCTCGATTGCCTTACCTTTGCTCTGGCTGGAAATGACACACATGTGAGCCAGGAAAGTGGCTCCTCCCCCTCCCGCTGAGGTTTCAATGAGAGAGAGGTTGTCTAACAGCAGATAACAGTTGGGTAACCCAATGCAGCATATTAGGATTGCATCTACACACACATTGGGGTCGTGTTGTGTGCCCATCGTCGGCGCAACTGGCGCTCAACGAAGGTTAAAAGGATTCGGGTGTCAAGCACGCCACTCACTTTGCCTTTCCACGTCGCCCACAGCAACGGTGGAGATGGGCCGGCCGCCATTACCGCTGCGGTAGACCTGAAGGGCATCCATGAGGTCGGCTTCCAGGGTGAACTCCGAGTCCCATTCGTAATTCTCGTCCACGGATGTGTTCCTTCTTGCGGAAGGGAGGATAGAAGATCAGAACACGGAGATCACAATTCAGTTATACAAAACGCAATATTCTTATTGGCTGACAGAACTAGGATTGTGATTGGCCCATGAAGGACAAAGCAACAGGTTCACTTTAATACCACCTTACTTACCAGCAACATATATTTGCCCTTTTCTTACCTGTTGGTTGATGGGAGTGGAAACAGCCGCCATTTTTTAGCTATGAGTCTCTGGACAGTGACAAAGCCCACCTCATCTTGCTCGTTCCTCCGCAGCCTGACTGTCTCTGGCCCCGCCCCTTTCATTCACTGAGTTCTTTCAATCATGGAGGCTCAGCAGCACATGTGGGCGGTCTGCATGCAAATACAGCCTGCCTAGTAACGCCCACTGCTCCAGGCTAACATCCGTCCATCAAGGCATTTTTTATATTTGCATAACCCCTCCCAAGAGGCGGCCTACTGCTTGCATCAGAGCTGAGGGCTCTTGGGAGGAGTATTGTGACAGGGTGCTTTGATGTTTTCAGGAAGCTATGTACAGCACCCTGCTGGCCCCTCCCACCAGCCATCGCAGCATTGTGTGGTTTGCATAACTCCTCCCAAGAGCCAGCCTACTGCTTGCATCAGAGCTGAGGGCTCTTGAAAGGAATACTTTGGCAGGGTGCTGTGATATCATGAGGAAGCTATATACAGCACCCTGCAGGCCCCTCCCACCAACCATCAAGGTATTTTGATATTTGCATAACCCCTCCCAAGAGCCCGCCCACTGCTTGCATTAGGGCTGAGGGCTCGAGTGGAATATTGAGGCAGGGTGCTCCGTTTTCAAGAAGCTATGTACAGCACCCTACGGGCCCCTCCCACCAGCCATCAAGGCATTTTGATATTTGCATAACTCCTCCCAAGAGCCCGCCTACTGCTTGCGTCAGGGCTGAGGGCTCTTTATTGGAAAATTGAGGCAGGGTCAGGTGACACTCGCAGCGGAGACCGGGTGACAACCCGCAGTGACGTTATAGCACATGCGTGGTTATCTAATTGACGCCATCTTGGTGATGGACGCGGGCAGAGAGAGGAGGGGGATGAGTTATGCCGCCGGGTACCCTCCTCTCTCCAGACACTGTGGGGCTCTCGACTTTTTAGAGAGGGTGACACTAAAATGACTGCCAGTCATTTTGGTGTCATCCCTCCAATGGTGTCACCCGGGTATGGGCCGCACCCCCCTTGTGACGCCACTGAGCAGGGTGCTGTGTTTTCAGGAAGCTATGTACAGCACCCTGCCGGCCACTCCCACCAGCCATCACGGCATTTGTATATTTGCATAACTCCTCCCAAGAGCCAGCCTACTGCTTGCCTCAGGGCTGAGGGCTCTTGATTGGAGTACTGCGGCATGGTGCTGTGTTGCTTTCAGAAAGCTACGTACAGCACCTTCCTGGTCCCTCCCACCAGCCATGATCTGATGCAAAAAGACCCAGTGATCCAACACATCAGCCACACATGCAATGCATTGTTATCAATGAGCCAGCCCACTCCTAAAGGGGCCAACATGGCTATCCGCCCTCCACTATTGCTCAATATCTTGAATTTTGCAGCCCATTCATAAAATGCAGGCTGTGGTATTGAACCTGTAGTACTTCCAGCAGTCCAGAGTGCACAGAAGGGAACAAGCCCACAGGGTTGGTGGGTATTTTTTTGCACGGACATAACAAAACACTTTCAATTGCCCAAAAAACGAGCAAATAAGTTAATTTTTAGGGTTTACAAACCTTTTGCAATGAGCTGCCGTCGTGTTTTTGTAGAATTATCAACTTTACACAGAAATAAACATCACTTTCATTTATGTAAATACATTAAAGTTAAACAGATTCGCTTCAAGTGAGTTTGTAAATATATTTAACTGTCTGGAAGTCCTGAAGGACTCATGGCATCGTCCCAGGCTCCTCCCCCATCTGGAGAGCTCCCGGCCACAAAATAAACATGTGTTTACGCGCTGCGGTTTCAGCGTCCGCCAACACCGTGTGACCTCCGGATACACTGAGCTGCTCACGCATGAAATAACGGCTGGCCAGAAAAATCCTCCGAAAGCCCTTGATGTACACCAAAAAAAACTATTTGCCGAGGTCACCGCCAACTCTTCCACCCGATGGCCATCTGCTCGTATGCTAGCCCTTGAGAGACACAACCTCCTGTAAGTGGCTAGCATAAGGTTTTCCCTAAACTTTAGTAGAACGTTGATCCCACCCAGAAGGCCCTTATCTTCCAGAGTTGGCCATCAACAGACAATTTCCGGTTTGGAAGTTTGGTCTATCAACCCTTACAACTGAAGAGCAGGTGTACAATTTGGGTTGGCACATGAAGAGCCAACCTTGATGATCCATCTGAAACCAATGAGCTACTGAGATTGTATCAACGGAAGACCAGCAGCTCTTCCATCAATAACTTGCCGAAAGTCGGCAAAATGTTTGATATTACCTTTACCGTGTTATAAAGTCTCTTCTGTGTCCCCCTCTGACCTAGTTTTAACATTCCAAGCTTTGGGGCTAAGCCTTGCCTCTAAGAGCCAATCCTTTCCCGTTGGACTGATCCTCGGAACAAAGAAAGTGGCTCAGTGGCCAACAAGGGTGCTCTCATTGGAAAGGGGTGGGATTTAGCTCCAGATAACAGAACCTAGCCCCTTGGTCAAGACAGCCAACATAGTACCGGTAGTACTACCAAAGCTGGATTTAAAGGGTATTATAGATCATTTTTTTATGTTCTGAGTGTCAAAACCCAAAACTCTGTCAACGAAGTCCCATTTTCCTTCACAACCTGTCTCTAAGACACACCAGTGGAAATGTCTTCATGGTCGTCACCATTGGAAGATTTCCCAATAACCTCCTGTTCCGCTAACTTGCACAAATTGGGATTTCTCATCCGTTTCTGTCCCGGTGAAGATAGGCCCTGGGACACCTAGAGTAGGTGGATTTCACCAGAAAACAATACAGGTTTCGGGTGAGGGCGTCAAGGATCTCCGCTTGGGTTTGGTCTGTCAGTAGGCAATCACTATTGTTTTTAGCGATTGCCTACTGATAGACATCTCTGTCCATTGACTTTCATTGAAATTCAAGGAACATCGAAGAAAAGTCATGGTGCAGAACTGTTGTCCTGGTGCAGATAGGCCCTGGGACACCTAGAGAAGGTGGATTTCACCAGAAAACAATACAGGTTCCGGGCGAAGGCGTCAAGGATCTCCGCTTGGGTTTGGTCTGTCAGTAGGCAATCACTATTGTTTTTAGCGATTGCCTACTGATAGACATCTCTGTCCATTGACTTTCATTGAAATTCAAGGAACATCGAAGAAAAGTCATGGTGCCGAACTGTTGTCCTGGTGAAGATAGGCCCTGGGACATCTAGAGAAGGTGGATTTCACCAGAAAACAATTAAGGTTCCGGGTGAAGGCATCAAGGATCTCCGCTTGGGTTTAGTCTCTTGAGTTTGGTCTGTCAGAAGGCAATCACTATTGTTTTTAATGACTGCCTACTGGTAGACTTCTCTGTCCATTGGCTTACATTGAAATTCAAGGAACATCGAAGAATAAGTCATGGTGCCGAACTGTTAAGCAGGAAGCAGAATCTGAAGGTTCAAACCTAAATATAGAAACAAGGTATTTGAAACCCACTGATTAGAATCTGAGTGTCCGGGTTCCACCCTGACTTAACTGGTTTGCAGCATTCTGGCTTGGCTGCCATTTTACCAACCTGTGACGACTCCTTTGCCTGAGCAGACCAAATTTGTCTCCTCCAAAGGTGACGTCAAACTGGAGCGTACTGAGGCAAGAATGCGATTTGGAGGTATAATAGGAACAGGTTCAGTATCCTCCTTGGACATTACGGCAAACTGGCGGGACAGGACGTCCGCCTTAATGTTCCTAGACCCAGGCAAATAAGAACGATGTAGTTGAACCGAGACAAGACCAAGGCCCATCTGGACTGCCGGGAGGATAGTCGTTAGGCCTCAGAGAGATAAGTGAGATTCTTGTGGTCAGTGAGTATTGAGGGGAAAAGGATCACCTCAAGGAGATGCCGCCATTCCTTGAGGGCCAAGATGATGGCCAACAATTCCCTGTCACCAATTTCATACTTGCACTCAGCCTGAGACAGTACAACAGTGACCAGCGGCTTCTCTTTAAGGAGCCCTGGGGACGAGGAAACCCCACCTAAGATCCGTCCCCTATGGAGTCTTAGGCGCGAGCGTTTTAATCACAGGTGGGGAAAATGGCAGCCAAGCCAGAATGCTGCAAACCGGTTAAGTCATGGTGGAACCCTGACACTGAGTAATGTGTCTTAGTCATCGTAGAGTAGATCTAAAGTCAGAACTTGCTCTCTGTCCCAATACACATTTAATAGACTATAGTATGCAAAGACTTTCTAGACATCGTAATGGCATGTATATGATGGCCACCCACCTATTGCTTATAGTTGCCAACAAGGAGTCCTTTCTGTGCCGATAATCCTCCGCACTGGAGCCCTGGGACCCCCCTCCGCTGTACCAGCTAGACGTCTCACCCAACGGTGAATTGAGGTAGCTGCCCCCCACCGATTGAGCCAAGGAGGGGGGCCTGAGAAAGGAGACACTCCCCCTGCCGCTGCTCTGACTGGTGAGGCTGCTCCGCATCACCTTCTCGGAGCCCTGCAGAAAGAGAGATTTGTCCAGCGGCGGCCTCTGCTTTTCCAAGGCCAGAAAGTCAGTGAACACCGAGAGCGGCTGGTCCTTCAAAGAGTATTGATAGTGAGATGGGATATGCTGCTCTAGCCTGTGGTCCATAGGGATGTGTCCATGACCCCAGTGTGCTCTCTGACCAGCTTTAAAATGCTCAGCGTCCTCCGGAGGTTGAGACCACAGTAGACTTCCAGGCAGGACGGCTTTCGCAGGTCCCAGGTTGGGCTCGGGGGGTTTTAGAAAGGTTTTGACAGGCACAGACTGCTCTTGGCTACAGTTTACATAGTCAAGAGACAACAGTTTTTGGGGAGCGCACGGGGACTCTTCCTTACGGCTCCCGCTAGTTCCATCAACGCTCATCAATGTCCGATCGTCCAGATGGTTGTTGTTTGGACTCTCTTTTTCCTCGGCCTCCGAAGAGCTGGGCTCTGATGTCCTGGTTTGGGACTCGTCCTCCACTGGCCAGTCTCCATCTACACTCATCTCTTTGAAGAACGGTAGACTAAGATACTGCAGGATGCCACTTTGAGTGGACAGGCTGTGCCTTAGTTGGCTTCCTTGGTCGCTGAGCCCAAGAGGTTTCTGTAAAAGTAACGAAGGCGCTCTAACTACTGTGCTCAAGGACGAAAAACAGTCATGTTCAGATTCCCGGAGAGTCGAAATAGTTCTTTCTAAATCTCCATCTATCTGAACCGAATCGCTACAGCGCGCCTCCTCCACCTGGCTGTACGGCAGAGGAACGGAAGATGTTACGGGGCTGATGTCCGATATCCGGAAGGGTTTGGCTTCTTCTAGCGGACTACTGCTACATCCAAAATACCTCCCTTGGCGATACCCAGAATCTCTTGCTTCCTTACGAGCCTGGCCAGTGGCCTTTGGTCTCAACTTCACTTCGTCCCGCCAAGACCCTGAAAGCCTCTCCCGTAGCGGACAAACCTGCAAGTATGTTTTGGCCTGTGAACACTGGCTGAGATCCGACGAGTCCCTGGCGTTGAATTCTGGATACAGGTCCGTCTCGGTCACATACGGAAAGCCTCTGATGTTGCTCCTCTTTGGCCGCGTCTCCGTCTCCACCACGAAGCGCCCATCGGGCCCGCGACAGATGCGCTCCAACGGCAAGCAATCTCCAATATGGCTCTCGTAAATGGCGTACTTGCCGCTCGCGCTACTTCCGTGGCTGACGCCTAGGTTGTTCACAGTCTTCTCTCCCAAGTGCAGAGATTTCCGGAAGCTTTCGTACGGAGCTACGTGAAGCTTGAGCCTCATGAGACTGTCGGGGCTGCTAGAACCATTAGAATTTCTGAGAAAGGAGG